TTTGAAGTTTTGTTTCCTAAACAAAACTTCAAAGACCATGGCCACACAGCCTGGAAGACCCACACCAGCCATCGTATGCCGGCCGTGAAAGCCTTCGACAATACACTGCTTTCATGGAGTTGTTTCGCTCATCAAAGAAAACATGGTTTTCAGGATCTGCAGAATTCTAATGCACAATGCAAAAGAAATTCCAAGAGTTTCCAGAAATGGCATCCTGAAATTTAGTTTCCTTTGTTTTGCCCCTAACTGAACATACCAAACATATGAAACGCACAAGCCTTCTCTCTTTCCAATCTACCTTCCCAAACATACATAATATCATAAACCTGGGTGATTTGATTTCAAGGAGATTCAGCTGCTCACACTTTCAAACTGAATCTTCAGATTGAATCCTTGAATCATTTGAAAGAATCAAATTGAATGAGGTGACTCTGAATCACTTTGAATTGAGAGATTTTTTTTTTATGTTGCTGCCCTTTTCTTCCCCCAAATGGACAAAATATCCTAACATTTGTTTCATCAGCAGTGTTGTCTGTACATGCATACACAGGCAACCCAGGAGAAAGCTCTCAAAATGACCGTGCTGAGCTTCCTGGGGAAAGCAGATGCTTCAATACTTCAAATGCTTTGCACAGGTTTAATTGACATAAGCAGCTGACCAAGAGTTGAATCATTTGCACAAGCCCTGCACTGTCAGATTGTTTGAGGGCTATTTTGCCTTTTGTGTCTCACTTTTTAATTAGAATTCATTTAGGCAGATTTACTTGGAGTGCTAAGTTTATTCTACCAGTGGTTGGTTGTTTGCTCTTTCTTATAGAATCCTCTTTCTTTCCCACAATCCACATCCTTTTATTATTGTATTTCCTTTACTCCCAATGTATTTGTCTTGCCTGAAACATAGCCAATTGGCACATGTACCCAATCTGTATGCAGTTGTTTATTTTCTATTAGTCCTCCCCTTTTGCACCTTTCCATTCTCTGCATTCCCCTCAAAGTTAAAAAAAAAAACATTTTTTCTGCTACTTACATGTCTCTGTCTTTGTACTGAGTAAGTCTATCTCAGACCTAATGTTGTCATACCAGGATGTAAAGAAATAGTCTATATTATATGCAATAGCTATTGCTTACACTAGCAGATGTGAAATATATAATAGTGATAACACACACATTTCTTAGGTTTTTTTAAAAAAATTGTTGCACAAGCATCACATGACACATCATTCCCAGAAGAGGCTCATTCTGCCTCTTCTGTGTTTCCAGCCCAGAAAGATAAATTACAGAGGGTTGCAGACCCTTCAAACTTTAGTAAGAACTTACTTTTTAAAACTGTTTTTGAAAGGCTTTATTTTTAAGATGGAGTAGGGCATTTTGTCCATTGATTCAACCTCACTTCTCCACAAGCTGGATAATTTCTCTCCCTAGACAGTTTGGAGCTGTTATGCTGTCATTTCCTCATTCCTGCTATGTCTTCTTTAAAAGAGATGTAAGTGGGAGTATTTCAAAAAATATTTCAAAGTGAAACCCTTCAAGCTACCCAACATTGTAGGAGGTCAGCTGTGTTAGTGTAGGATAGCAAAAACTCCAAAAGAGCCTGGTAGCACCCTTTTTGACTAACAAATTTTATTAAAAGATATAAGCTTTAGTGGGTAAAACATGACTAATGACCTTTAAGAGTCTACCATCTCTGCTATCTGCATCCCTTGCAGGTGTTTTCATGCTTCCTCGGTTGAACCCTATTTTGTTTTTCCTTTTAGCTTGGGATAAAGTCCTACAAGCGGGAACCCATTGAGACTCACCAGGCCCATTCTCGGAAGACCCTTATTGCCCTGGTCACCACCGGCCTGCTGTTGGCATTTTTGGGATTGGCTGGATATTACCTTATGAAACGACGAAGCTGGAGTCCCATGGGAGAGAGGCTGGTTAGTGCTTATAGTTGGCAAAACAAGCAGAAAGCTCAAGACACTCAGCAGCAGTTATAGAGAAAAATGTCAGGATTGTTATTCATCCATTACTGTAGGTTGTGTGCTCATTTCCATAAACTATTCTACAATTTCAAGTTATGCTTACTTTTTATCCAACAGTAAGAATCAACCATTTACAAATGCCATCAAGAGGGAATCATATTTTTCCCAACATCCTCATGCTTTAAATTCAAATTAGACTTTCTCCCCTTGTTTCTGCTGTACTAAAGATTTTCTCTAAGATTTTACCACCAAATGATGACAATAAAGGATGTGAAGAAAGAGAAAATCTTTTTTCTTGATTTATTTGTTGCTTTCTGATTTCTGTTTCTTCCGTCTTTAGGGTTGCTGGCACCCATTTAGTTTTAACCATATCAGTTAAACCCAATTGCAATTGTGATTAATCTTCCTTTTTAATACTTGGGGATGTGCAAATATTGCTCCCAAACCCAGAAGAAGATAAAATGAAGTGGAGAAGTGGCACTGGAGAGGGCACTTAATTCTCTTCCTAGCTGCTATTTTTACTTCAACACCTTTCATGGGGTTTCAATCTTATCTAAGACGATTGGGCAGATACTTTCCCAGGAAAATCTCTCATTGAGATATGATAGTAATTTTGGAGTGCAAACAGCTTGAGCTGTTCAGAAGATGAACTCTACTGATGAACCACAATCTGTGTGACATGACCACTTTCTTGGTAAAAAAATACAATAGAGTTTCTCTGTCTCACTCCCTTTTAAATGTTCTCAAACCTTCTGCATTTAAGGAAAAATATCTTTATATTTAAACAACAGCCTCTTTCATACAATGAATTTCTACAGGTCTCCTTCATTAACCTTGAATGCAAACTTAGAGCTGTGTAGGGTTTCACAGCCAATTTTCAAAAGGTGTTTCAGAGCATTTGGAAGTAGCATCTGTCTGCAACACCTTATAAAAGCTGTGCCTTTTCCCAGAACTGAATCCAAAGCACTGTACAGCCCCACCTTATAGTATAAAATGTTGACAAACTGAATGCCAGTGCCATCACAACAATAGCTAATGAATGACCTGTTATTCCATTTATCTACTTATTGGACTATACATTAGCTAGGCTACATTAGCTTTCAGAAACTTAACTATCCTTCCATTACTGCAAATTAGTGATATTACTATCAGTCTCAACAGTCAGGAAATATAGATGCATGTGAGATTGTGCATGAATCATACAGTGGGCAAAGAGTCAGAACAAGACCTCTTATAATCCAAGGGGAGGCTTCATAGTTTATTGCTAAAACGTGTTCTTTGAGCAAAAATCCCTAGATTAATTTTCTGACATCCCCAGTTTAAAAAAAAAAAAAATCTGGAACCAAGCTATGAATAATATCTCTGCTCCAAACCCTAGATAGACCTGTTACAATCAGAGGGGAAAATACCAGGATAGTTAGATAAAAATATTAATGCAGCATTTTGCATACTGGATTCTCAGTATTTCATCCAAGCTTTCATTTTATTGACATATTTATATTCAGAGAAGTTGTATTATTACCATCAATCACATAAGCCACTGAAATACCTTTCATACATGAACAAGGCCTTCCTGTTCACCCCATCAAGACCACTGTCTTCATATACTTTCTCTAAATCCCCGATTGAAACACCTGACTGAAAGAACAGATATTTCTTTTGTATGTAGAATCTAAACTACTTTGTTGACTGCTGAGTGGCTTTGTCTTACTCTGAATTTTCTTATTATTTATACCTCCCACCCCTTTAGGGTGAAGATCCATATTACATCGAAAATGATAGCCATGGCAACCCTGTGATCCCTGTGGCCTCTCATGAACAGTCTGACCTGCAGAATAAACCAAATCTCAATGGAGGGGCTCGGGAAAATGGGACTGGCCAGCCAACCTCGAAAAATGGACACTCAACCAGGCCCCAGGTTGTTGCTGACACGGAACTGTGAAAAAGCCATGGCCTTCTTAATGCAGCTGGAAAAGATCAAACTGCACATGCAGAGGAGCTAGGATGCAAGAATGTCTTAAATGAAATTATAATACCTTTAAAAAAAACTTTAACATCTCATACTAAAGCATACATTTTTCAGGGGCCGACACAGCATTTGTGTATGAAAATTGTTTGTAAAATTAGCAAACTGCTTAAATGGGATTGGGCATGTTCCTAATACACATGGGGTTTTGGGCTTTTTTATTTTTCTATATTTAGATGTGACATCCTTCATAACTGTTCATCCAGGGAAACATGAGGCATGTTTCCTAGAATTTTATGGAGATTTTTCACTATTAATGAGTTGCTTAATATCTATCTGATGCTGTTTAGAGTAAAGAAGGACATGTTCACTTTTAAAAATGTAATCTTAATTTAATATTAAAATATAACAGAGATATAACATCTATGGCCCAGAGTAGAATGCAGCCTTTGAAAGTAACAGACCCCTCAAAAATGACATCACTGAATTGTAATTTGTAATTGCAATTATTAAATAATTATAAGCACTATACATTTATCAATTTAAATATAAATTTAACTGTAAACAAAATTTTAGTCCCTGTCCTGGCCCCAACCAATCTTTTTCATAGAGCCTACCCCCTAGCATGTAACTCAAAGGTCAGTGTAGACCTATGTTCAGATAAAGTTCTGCTCCTGTTGTGCAGTGAGGCATATCAATACCTAGTGAGGTATTCCAAGTCCTAATTCACATGATCATTTTACATGGCAAAGTCAGCCTGGGTGAATCAGTTCTGTGAATGCTCAAACATGCAGCCATATTATGACTTGTCGTAAGCTATATTTTACATGTTTCAAGATAAAGGGATTTGTCACTTTGGTCCTTGTTTATCTGTTACAACTTTGGGAAACCTCCCAATGCTATTATTCTTTGGTAGGGAATCACTACGCATCCCCATATCCAATAAGACTGTCTTTCCTGCCTTTCTGCATTTATGCTGTGCTGCAATTTGTACTTAACATAAACTGATTGTAACTCTGCAACTCATCAGAGCCTTCTGAAATATGGCTGAGGCAGTTCTTAAACAACACAAAATAAACTCTTCACTAGATTTGCTTACTCTGAAAGAACTGAGTACCTTTTCACTTTAAAAGCATTAGGAAATATTTGGTGACATCTTTTATAACATGAAACTGCAGTAGGCAATTGACCTAAATCTCAAATGCTCTCTCTTCTTCGACTTTGGTTTTCTTTGTCCATATATATATATATGAACAAGCAAACAGCATAATGACACAGAACAACTTTCAGAACAACATAACACTTTCTAGATGATTTGGGACTGCTATTTCTAGAACTCACAAGGACATCCTTGGAACTCCAAGAGCTGTAGATCCAAAAATATCAGAAGCCAACAGGTTGAGGGAAGCTACCATAAAGCCACTGATTTTTTAATATAAAGGAGATAACAAGTCTTTAAAGTGATCCTCAATCTGGATAAAGTTAATTACATTGAAATTAAGGATGGCATTAGTTGTAGTTACATTAATTGGAGTTCCATTTTTCTGAGCCTACAATCCTATTTATAATGTCCTGGGATTTGAATACAATGCAGTTTACTTCTAAGTAGACATTTATAGGATGGCATAGAACCTATGAATTTAGTTTTCAAACAAAATATGTTACAGTATATTTGTAAATGCAAATGCAAATATAGCTATATTTAAGTTGTATGCTTAAACATATCTAAGATCTCAATTGTCATAGTTTAATTTAGCCTATATTCTAATTAACACTCATTTCTTCCCTCTAATATTTTTCTCCATTGCCTTCCCTTCCCTCAGTGCCATCCTGGGATTTATTGACTGTGTAAGTATTATCTGATTATACAATGTAGAACAAAAATGTGACTATGCTCTGAAATGAATTCTCTTTTTTTATGCTAATCATTATGGATACTGTTGTTTAACAGATTATAAGTGGAAATAATTCAAGAAGGCCTAATGAATAAATACTGCCTTGTTTACACTTGCAACTGGAAGCATTAGCTAGATATGGGATAATGAACGTAAAATTAAGTAGCCCACTAGTGAAGGGAAGATGGTCATCATATTTCTTATCTTTGATTCAGATTTCTCCAGTCTGCTCTCATCCAGATATGGTGGGACCAGAATTCCCAGAATTCTTTGCCAGTATTATCCAAATGCTGGTGCTGGAGAATAAATCAATCATTTAGTAGATTAGTATAGATAGTCTTTAAGTTTACATTTTTGTGTTAAGCGAGCAAACATGATTTGTTAATATGGTAAAAGAACCATGTATTTTGGAATTGTCTTTAGTGTAAACTATACATATATTAGGACACTTCCATAATTAAAAAAAAAAGGTAGTATATTTATACATTTTAATTGTTACTTACTACCTGATTTCCCAAATGCTATCTTGATTGTTTTTGGTTTGATGTAGTTAACTGAAAAGCTCAGATGGGTAGAAATGATTTGCCTTAAGCTTCTCTGTGAGTTCTTGGCAAAAGTAAGTTTTGGACTGGGATATTCTTTTGCACAAATACAGTGACTAAATGATAGTGGGCACAAAAACAGTATAGTTTATGGCAATGTAGGGAAAAAAATTAAAATATAAAGGAATGATTCCTGAGTTGTGTTAAGCCTCCTTTGCATATTACAGCAAGCTTCTTCCCATGCCATTCAAGTATATCTATGAAGGACCTACTTGGAAGCTGTTCACTCCACAAGAACACCATTTATGGGAAAGTGGGGCATTCTTGGCAAGATAAAGGCCACAAACATCTCTCATGTGAACCAGGATTCTTGATGAAATATCATGATGTGCAAGAAAGACTGATATTGTAGCAGAATAACTTGGTTCCTTAAACAGCTTTATGGCTAATCCTTCAGTGGGAATGCATAGGATAAAGATTTATATCCATTTTGCAGTTTCTTTCTGTGGAAAAGTACAGAAATGAACAAATGAATTTGTTACTATAGTAACAGATAAGAAATACAGGTTTTAACCTCACTTATGAAGAATACAGGCAACATGTTTTTATTGCTTTACATTTATGTACAACAACAAAAAAGTATATGAAATTTCATGGGTGGGATGGGAAGTTGGGATCACCCTTCATCCTTCCATTCCCTCTCCAGTTGCTCATTACCTTTTCTCGGATTTTTTTTTTCTTAGCTCTTTCTTCCCTCTCTTCCTAGTATACCCAAAACACATACCATCAAACTCTTTTGTTTCTTCAGCTGTAGTTTTACCTCTATTTCCCCAAAGAAATACATTCAGAAGGTCAATTACAGCAGTTTTTTATTCCTTATGATCTCAGCTATTAATATCCAACCTTCTTCCAGAGTCATAAGACAATTCCAGTTTCTATTTCTTTATGACTTTCAAATCAGCTGAGCAGAATGGAATGTTGGAATTGATTTATATTTATACTATATGGATCATGATTTTTTTTTCACTTTTTACTTTCTCTTTCCACCATCCTTCTTCCATGAATCCTTGATTGGCTGATTATGATCTATTAAGTTGGTAACAACTCTTAAGGACCTAATCGATTTTCTCCAGGAAGATCTGTCCCCAACCTAGCCCTTCAGGTCTCCCAACAGTGCACCCATTGCTGGTATAATTAAGTCCATCCTTCTTGCTATCGATTGTCCTCTTCTCTTTCTTTCCAACTTCCCAGCATTTTAGACTTTCAGGTCATCACATAATGTGTCCAAAAGATGATAGTTTGAGTCTGGTCATTGTGCCTCAAATAAGAACTCAAATTGATTTATTCTATGATCCATTTGTTTGTTTTCTTGGATATCCATAGTATTTTCAAGAGTCTTCTCCAACACCAAAGTTCAAAAGCATCAATACTTTTTTTTATCATGCTTCTTCAAAGTCCAGCATTGCTTGCACAGTTCTGATTTTGATAGCTATGGACACATCACAGCATCTGACTATTTTTTTCAAGGCCTTTGTTGTTGTTCTACCAAATGTTTATCTGTGGTGTATTTCTTGACTGCTGATTCCTTTACTGTTGATAGTCAATCCTAAAAGGTTGCTCACAAAGTCTAATTTATATAATTCAATCACTGACTGCATTGTACCTGACGACTGTCTTTGCTATATCCTTCCTGGCTTTGAAAGCAACACCATTTATTCTTTGTTTTTCATGTCCTGAGTAGCAAACGGTATGATCTTCTGACCAAATGTGCTCAATTCCAGTCCATTTCACTTCACTGATGCCTAAGAAGCCAACATATAGTTCATTCATTTCATTTTTCACTCTGTTGAGCTTTCTCACATTCATGCTTCTTATGTTTGGTTTTCCCATTGTAATTCTGCCTTTGCAGCTTTGGATTTTCTTTCCCTGTATGGCAACATCAGCAATTAGATGTCCCAAAGGCTTTAATTTAGCTGCATCATAAACACCATTAATATTCCAAAAGATCCTTAGCTCTTCCTCAGTAGCCACCCATCTGGCACTCTCTTGTTGATCACTTTATGCCCATGCCATAAGGAATATCTAGTTTGGGGGTAGGGACAAATGAGCCCATTTGAACACTTGAGAACATATTATGGCCATTCTGAAATGTTTATCAGGTAGCTACTCATCCAACCTGAGCACTGGGCTCTAGCTATAGCAAATTTTCAAAGAGATGCTTTGCAGAACAAAGAGGACCCGGAATCCACAAAAGGCTAGGTGTGGCTGAGCCATGTTGAAGTAAGTATTTTGAGAAACTTCCATGGCTTGTTCTCTCCATATCTGCACATATACACCGAAGATGCTTTTGCTGGCACTCCTAGTGAAGCAAATCAGCCAGCCAAAGTAATAGAGTCATGGTGAATACCTCTTTTTTTTATAGTCAAGACACTGGTTGAAATTGAATCACTCTTTAATTGAGACAGATACGCAAAGTGAAGCAGTACCACTTCACACCTTATGCTTAGGGAGGTATCCATGGTCATACTGGTACCTGTGGCACTGTTCTGGAGATTCAGGTCATACACTATATCTTGATAACCCTGGGGAAATAAGCATTGACAAAAAAGGTAATATAATATGGATGGAGAAAAAAAAACAAAGAGGACAAGAGACCACTATACAATGGAAATGGTGAGGCAGAGCTGGGAAATCTTTCAAATAATCCTTCAAAATGAGGGACATGAGGACATGAATTCAGGAAACTGGCCAAAGGTAGCCTGGATATAACTACCTCATTTCTGAATAAGGAAAACTGAAAGTCTGTCATGTTCTTGGAAAGTCATTGTGGTCTATGTTATGCTCTGGTCTCCCAGCTTTGGGACGTGAATTTAAAATGGGAGGCCATTCACCCAACTCTGATCTATCTAAAGGGCATTCTGCGATTTATGATATACCTAATGTGGCTAGACATAGGCATACTTCTCCCTTCACTCTAATATTATGTGATATGGAGATGAGGGATGTTTACAAAAATACATTTCCTTGTATGTTCTATGCCTCAAGGATCTTGAATGGCTGCTATTCCTACCCTTTCACGGCATCACTTTTAATGCCTAGCACATCTGCCTGCTAGTAGCCAACCTTACTAATGCAGGAGTAATATAATGCTTTAAAACTCCCCTATTCTTACTAGAGATCTTTAGAAGTTGCTAATTGGAGAAACTAGCACAATCCATAAATTGTGTATGTAATAAAGGTTTCTTTGTAAAAACAAATGTAACTTCTAGGGCTTAGTCATAATTTTCCTCACATCTTAGTAAATCTTTTGACATAACTTGTCCTATCTCTAACAAATTTCTCTTCCCAGAAAAAAAAAATGTCCTGATTTATGCAGGGGTAAGAAAACAAAAGCTGTTCCCAAACTGTCTGAAGCCAAAGGAAATGCAAGGCACGACGCCAATAGAGGTGCAGAATATGAGAGAACACCAGTCCGGAAAAGGCTGTGCCCAAAACTACAGGAAGTTTTCTCCAAGTGTATAAACATGGTCAGCTTTGGCTTAAGCACAGCTGAAGGTGTTATTACTTTTTCCTTATCAACCCACAAGCATTTCTTCCTTGCAAAAATTCCTTCTTAATCTTTTGTTTTGAAAAGCATGCTGCTGATAATGGTTTCCTCCTGCTCAGCTTCTGAACAGTTTCTGTGCTGCGATGAGAAACAGGCAATACAATATTTATCTCCTTTGTATTCATAGGCCTCCTCCAATTAAAAGGAAAAGATCTGATGCCTAGTTCTTCATTTAATTGGTGGAAGAAATCATGATGTGTTATTTATAGCAACATGCAAGAAAAATAATGGGTCTAGAACTCCTTCCATCAAATGATTTTATTCACATTTTATTCCATTGCACTTTGCTGTAAAAGTATCTAAGAAAACTTTCAGTTTTCTGAATCTCTAATTAATGAAACTTAAGCAAAAAGGCTGGGAGACTTTTGCCTGCAGCCAATCAGTGTAGTTGGCATTTTAGTTAGATGGGCTCATATTCTGACTCCTTGTAAGGCAGATTCTTATATCTTATGTTTGATACACTGTAAGAAATGCTTAGAAAGATAATTAATCCCTCAAGTTCAGCTTAATTCCTGGCGACTACACAGACCTATCCATATCATGTTCTTGAGTAAAATATGGAACTGATTTGCCAGTATGTTTTTTTTAGATCACATCAACAGTCCTGGGATTCCCCTACAGTCTTCTATACACGTACTAACCAGGTCTAACCAGGCCTAACTTTGCTGTGCTCTTTCAAGATCATCAAAGATCAGTTACAGGACTGCTACATGTTGTAGTTCAATGGACTTTGTATTTTTCTTGAAGGAGACTCAGTTTCTAATAATGCATAACAAACGTAATGTACACAATTATTTTCCATTAAGTTTAAAACCTTTATATTACTGACATCACTTGTTTTTAAC